TATATATAATAAGTTATTTTAATTTGGTGAGTTTTTTTTACAACTACTTTATATTCTATTTTGCATTTTGTTATTTCCTTGCCTAGATAATTATTTTATTACTTGTTGTTATGTTGTGTCATTATGAAACCCATTATACTAATAAAGAAATATGATGTAGACAGATTGCAATTAGGTGACTAGCATGTATTTACGTATTAGAATATGAGAATTTTTGCATTCTGTGAAACCCTGCAGAACCTCAATATCTCATGGAACCCCTGGATGTCTGTCAAGGAAGTGTGGTTGAAAAGCACTGAGCTACACTACTAATGATTCTACAGTAAAGGAAGAGTAGGGAGATCTCGACTCAAACCTTCACTAGAGAAGATGACAGATAGCCACATATCTCATCTTAACTCATATTCAGCCAAATAATAAGCCACAAGACAGACAGCATGTACAGACCACATAAAATAGGTGCAAGGCACCACTGCCTAAAAGCACATCAAAAGAAAATACTTATCACATGGAAGTAGACAAAATCTGTCAGCAGAACTAATGATAGACAGTGAATGTAAAAAAAAAGAGATGTAAAGGTCTGGAAGCTTATCCTCATCCTATCCCAAAAAATGTAGTCCATAGCAACTTTTATGAACTGAGACTAGAAACTCCCACAGAAGACCAGCAGAAGCCAATATTGTGAAATTATTTTAGTCCAATTTTCCATATAAAATCTCAAAAAGAGTACAAACAAGTTTAACCCTGACTGTACTTATACAAGTCTATAAATGTTACAGGACCAATCTCCTATTAACTAGCTAAAAAAGTTAAATTCTATGCAACCTCTACCCAACATTAATAAACAACAAATTATATTATTCAGAATTATCACATAACAAACACGGTTTGAGTTAAACTTCAGACTTTTAGCTTACAGTGCCAGTGATCTATCATTCAAAGTACAAACCTAATTTAGACTACTGTCAACTGCCAATAGCTGTAAGTATTTTTATTGTGATTTGTATTAAATGCCTTTGTTATTTATTACTTGTAATTACATTACTATTACTAATATTCACTAAAAACATATTAAAACCTGGTGATTATACTAAGTTGCCAGGAGCAGTTGATTTTATTAATTATGATTCAGATTCAGAGAAAAGTCCAGTACTTAAAAATATATGTCTCTTATTATGAATTTAAAAATCAGGCACCAAGAGCATGGGTACTTAAAAATAATTTTTATATTGCCAAGAGTGTAATTCAACAGAAAAACATTTACTTTTTCTGTAAAGCAGCATTACCATGTAGTGAAGACAACATATTGAGCTTTGGAACAATTTCATTACATTTCCAAAACATTAAAATAATCTTCTTTTACACTTTTCAAACAGAAATAAAATAGAAAAAAAGTAATGTTATTTATATTTTATGTTTTAAGAGAACTTTAAGTGGTATAATACATTACATACAATTACAGATGATTCAAATCTGCAAAGTATTATTCAGATCAAAAAGTGGAACATTGAAATTCATAACAATTCATGCATTAATCTTATTCACAAATTGTTTGACCAAATAAGTACTCAAGATTTATTATTGTATTTGTTTTTGAAAATGTTTCATGATTTTCTTAAGTATACTTATTTCATATATCATACTAAAAATTTGTGTCACAAAAAATGTCAGCATATATAGTCTAATAACATGTTCTTTGCTTCTTGTTCTAAGTAAAATACTTTAAAATAGCTTACTAAATAATAAGACTTTTACTAGTTTTTACCTCTTAAGTATAATTTAAAATAAAATAATAATCAAATATTCTACAATTTGAAAACCATTGGGAAGTGGAAGTTTAATTTCATGAAGCACAAATTTGATTTTAATAAAAATTATAAAATATGACAAGTATTCATGAACCTCTAAGCACATTGGAATAAATATTTTTTTTTATAATTACTTAAATTAGTTGAAATACGTATTAGAACAAAATCTTTTGGCCATTTTAAGTTTATGTTGGGGAAAACCTCAACTATTCTAATATTATTTACGTAAAATACTATGCTACATTAAAAATTTAAACTTGCTCGACCTTGCAACTTTATGTACCCTTACTACTGAGAAGTAACAGTTTGCTCTCTAAAAGTCTAACGTTATATCGTCCCTCTTACTTAATTATAAACATTTCTGACAACGGACAGTATACAACGTTTAAACTTTTGTGTCATTTACAATAGAATGACAAAATTTTGTGATGTCACACAAACAAGTGATATGCAGTTCACGCTTCACTGACATAAGGTGTTACATATGATAATAGTTAATACTGTTTTGAAGTAATTAATTACAGTTAGAAGAGTATCAAGTTTATAGGAATGCAAAGAACTTACTATTAGTATTACGATAATTTGAATACTCAGTCTTATATTTATAAATTTTTGTAGAAAGAAAATCAGATCTTTCCCACATCAAACTTTTAAGATTTAAATACGCAAAAGAACAAAAATATCTCCTTTAAAAATATATAGAAATGGAACATTGATAGTCGCCAGTACGTCAAACATCTTGTTTCAATCGCTAGAGGTCGCTCAAATATAGTTATAGCCGCAAACCCAGAATGTTGAATTCGTTAACCATACTTAGCACAGTATTTGAGCAAATTGTGTAAATTCACAATTTAATTTTAACGAAATTAACAGTGTTAACGTTAACAAATGCCACCAAAGAAGAAACCAAACGAGCCAGGAAAGAAAGCTGATCAGAAGAAAAAAGAAAAAATTATTGAAGTAGGGATATTTATGTATTGTATTTGTAATAGTATAGTTTCATATTAGCAATGAAACTTGAAAGTAGGCCTAAGAAATTGGAAGCATGGAAAAAATGCTACAACTACAAATTACAAATACAAATCTTATTGACTTACCGTTTAAGTTAAGCTTAAGACTAACCTATGGTTCAGGAACTGGGGGAGCGATTGCTCTCTCCAGATTTGTGTAGAGGGGTAAGCTTCACGTAGACTGACAATAGAGGAATTCCTATGGGGTCAAAAATAACGATAATTATATTTCTCTTGTAATTTGTAGTTGTAAGTTCTACCTCTAACAGTAACAATTGAAGTGGCTCATGCTGTTAGTGTTAAGCTTATTCAGGTTATTGTCCTTTTGTAAATTGTACAGTGAAGATGCATCTAAAATAGATTGTGGTTAAAGGTTGCTTTTAAAATTTGTTCAGAGAAATGAAATGTAAATGGGTTTTTCCTGTATTTTCGGATTCTCTGTGTTGTGGTGCGTGTATTTTCAGTCAATTTAAGTCAACAACTGCCCCCTGGGTTAAGTTTGGGCCCCCCCTGAGATTACCATGATTGTGAAGTGCTGTATGCACTCTGTGTATATTTTTATGGCTCAGTCAGGCTAACTATATTATGGAGGCATGAACAGGACATAAAATAATTGGTATGGGAAACATGCTTTTTTAATTATTAAAAATAGGCATATGAGGTAATGTTTTTATGCACAGGAAGTATAAAATGTCACAAGTAGTATATTAATATTACATATAACAATAAAATACTAATTTTGAAGATTTTTAAAAGTTTTTATTAGTATTTTTTAAATGCATACAGCAGTTGAGAAACAACCCCTTTTCCCACCACGTCAGTATGCTGTTTCCAATTAACCAACTGAACAGACATGAAAAATAGTTTGCATTCAAGAAACCATGTACTCAGAGGTAGTTTTTGAAAATTTATTATAGGCTATAAATTTACTGGATGAGTAAAAGCAAAAAAAATAAGACCATTGTCTGGGTAAATATAAATAATATTTTTGTCAATAAGATGTGGCTTTACACGGAGGTTGAGATAAAAATGTTATTGCTTGAACAGAATAAAGACTAATTTCACTCAAGACAAACTTTACCACAACCCTTTATTGCACTTTGGCAACATAACTAAGTTTACATTCCATCAAAAACATGTATCTGGAGGTAGCTCTTAAAAATTTATTAATAACTGGAAATTCACAGAACTTTCACAAGAGGGACAGTAGACACCATAGATTTATAACACCAAGCCATATTCTGTTGTACTTTAAATTATTTTTCAATATTTATATTCTTATTGCTCTAGATTTCACATGACTTTTATATGAAGTACAAAAATGTTCATGGGTTATTACACATTTAGTCATATTGCTCTAGATTTCACATGACTTTTATATGAAGTATAAAAATGTGTTCATATTGCTCCAGAATTTCACATGACTTTTATATGAAGTATAAAAATGTTCATGGATTATTACACATTTAGTCATATTGCTCTAGATTTCACATGACTTTTATATGAAGTATAAAAATGTGTTCATAGATTATTACACATTTAGTCATATTGCTCTAATATTTCCTTCACAAACTGAGTATGTAGAGTTCAAATAACCTCAATGTAGATCTGTTACTGAGAGATACACTGTGTGCTACCACCTTTATCACTAAAGAGTTTTTATTGCAGGAGGGACCTTCTTATTATCAAGGGTATCCTTGTATCCCTCGATATATACATATTCTGTATAATGAAATTGTTTTTCTGGAACTATCAAATCCATGGTGAACTCGGTAGAAACTCTCCTCTTACATTAGTCCACTATATGTACTGAGAGTGGGAGTGTACTTATTATAGCCTTTTGCTTTCAGTAATTTTATTTTGTCGTTGTACACAGCAAAACTATTTGATATATGTTTTTTATAATCTTACAAACGTGTATACTTTTGTAATCTCCATAAGTACATGGTTCAACTGTTAAAAGTTTTTATTTCTTCAGGTTCTCACTGATCATGAAGACATATTTGTAGCTGAGGAAGCATAAGCTAACTTAAGTAGAAATATTTGATACCTCTGAATTATAGGTAACAAAAAGGTAAATCAAAACAAAATAAAAAAGTACTGATTTTTGGCATTCACTGGCTTACACAAGCTATAATGAGCTCCAAACCACATGGTTATTTTAAAATTGCAGAAATAAAATTGAATAAAGCATAATTTCTTAAAAAATTACTTCTCCATTTTACTACATTTATATTTGTTTTATTTCAACAATATTCGTATTACATGCCTGTATGTAATATCACACATGCATACACAGTCATGTTTACTGTATAAGTAACCAGTAGTGGATTTTGCTTAGTTCTTTGGTATGTTCTTGCACAAAGTAATAAGCAAAATGGAATGGTTTTGTTCTAACAAATTAAGTAAACCATATTGCACTAAAATGCTTACATGGTTTTAAAATCACAACAATTCCAAAAGTATCTTCAAATGAATATTGAGTATTTTTATTTGTAAAAGTGGTTGAACAGTAGGCTATGTTGTTACACAAACTGCTGAAAGGTGGAAAATGACATTTAATAGTGTGGCTGCTTTCCTTCTAAAAATTTCTAACCTTTTATGTTTTTCATGTGGATCATAAATTTTGTATTTAGACAATCACAGTAGTTTGAATTTGCAAATTCAGCCAGTGGCTTTTACAAACAATAAAGTGATCAAATTTACTGGGAACATTAATTCACACAAAGCTGTTTTTTCCTTGACCAATCACCAAATGACTTGAGATGGTTAAAACTGAAAGTCATTGGTCACATCATAGCAATTTCTGATAGTGTGTTGGGTGCTGACCACTCCACCCACTCATCATACTTAGACTTATCAAATCACAGGTGATAAGTTTCAGCATACTAGTGATGCTTTACTACCATCCAAAGTTGTTAATAGAGGCAGTTTGGGATTCACCTTAATCTGCAGATTATACATTGTACATAAAATATTGTTGAAATTGATCTTAATATAATGAAATCATTATTGAAATTTGTACAATTTACTTGCCTAGTCAAAAAATTGTACCACACAAAATACTTTTTTGCATTGTCATGGATTAATGGTTAAACTACATTTATTTGCAACTGTTTTTTTTTTTTATTTATTTGTTAATTACATTGATATTAATAGTTTTTATTCACTTGTTGCAAATACAACTTTCTAGTTAACATCAGTTATTATATGTAGAAATGTTGAAGTATTCTTATGAAAACTGTATTGCCTTTTCATCATTGTTTATTAATATGTATATATTAATGTGTGTAAATACCAGTATTATTAATAACTTTTCTGTTATATGTTTTGCTTCTAGGACAAAACTTTTGGCTTAAAAAATAAGAAGGGTGCTAAGAACCAGAAATTCATACAGCAAGTTCAACACCAAGTAAAGTTTGGAAACCAGAGTGGTCGAAAGGTTTGTGTAGAGTTTAGAAAGAAATGTTTTTACTGTGCGAAGTTAAATGCATAGAACTGTGAACTTTTCTCCCAAAATTGAGTTAGCCAAAGAGAAGAATTTATAACGGTTCTAATAAGAAAGATAGGTGCTCACTAAATTCATATCTACAACTGCATGGTGATAACAGGAATCAGCAATGAAATGCTTCTAAATAATTGAATGCTTCTAAGTCTTACATGCATACCAGTCATGGCTAACATTATTAAATAAGCACTAATAACTATTGTTGTGAAAAAACTGTCAGTCTCATGTGAACATAAGAAAAGTCAAGGTGGCGGAACACCATTCAGTTCATTGAGATCATCCTATACACACACACACACAATTTTTTTTATACTCCAGCTTAAAACAGCCAATTTGATCCATATATTTATCCACCAAAGTTCAACACGAATCTGACTATTTATACATTTCAAGTACTACAATATATTTAATTTATAGGTAAAAATAAAAATAAAAAGCATATTAACACAATTTGTGTGATCTGAAGTTATAAAAAAAAACAATAACTTAGAATGTGTAGTGTAGTGTCTTTCAAATTGAGTGAAATGTAATACAGAAACACAGCACGGCAGTTTCTGCATTTTTTTCTAAGTAGATTTTAAATGTTTGTAGCAATGTTAGCACTATTTATGGAAATCCATCCATTGCAATCATACTGTATTTAAGTATTTCTACTAAAGATACGTCTGTGAACTTTTAAAGTCTTTACTAAATTGAGGAGATTTTCATATTAAGAATAAAAAAATATATCTATATATATTCATCATTGTTTTTTATTTAATTTGCATAACTTATAGAACCTCCTAAATGATTATCTGAAGTTTTTTCCAGGGATACTATGTTTATTCACAGCTGGTTTCATTTAGTTTTATTACTTTACAACGGTACATAGTCCATCTCAGAATACATTAAAGGCATTTATCCTAGTGGGATAGCTTTGTGTAAACAGTCATGCAACACTGTGTGTATGTGATTACCTCAAGTATCATGAGAATTTTTTCATTTAAGTTTTATCCCTTGGTGGATCAGCTGTAAGTTTATAGGCATACAACACAGAAATCCGGGGCTCAATTCCTCATGGTGGATGCAGCAGATAGTCCAATGTGCCATTGTGTTAAAACAAACACCTTTCAGGTTTTCTTATCTAACCAAATAAAATTCAAATTTTTACACTTTAGTTATTTTTATGACAATAAATATAAGTAACTATAAAAAAACAAGAAAATTAGTACTTATATCCAGACTCAGTATTTTACCATTGAGGATGAGGCACTCTAAAACTTCTATGTGAAAATGTTCATTGCCTACAAAATATTTCGTTTATTTCAAACAAGCATTTTAACTCTTTCAAGATGGGTCATGGGTGCTGTGTCATCTCGTTTGTTGACTCGCATTCAAACTTTTATTGAACTACTAGTTCATGAATTTATATCAATAAGTTTGGTATCAAACTGTAAATTATAATTCAAATTTTAGTACTATATATTACTCAATTTCTTTACTTAAAAGTAAATATTTAAAAACATAGATAAACATCGATTTTTGTGTGTCACGTGGTATGTTGAATGCAGAACTGGTTCAAATTAGATGTTTGTGAAGTTAAAATACAAAGTCTATAGTTTTGTACAAATTAGAAACTCAAATTACTTATATTGACAAGAATGTTTTATCTTTTCTATTTGCTAAGATATTGCTCATGTAATAAATCAAGCACAGTGGCACCCTGCCCACCTCTTTCCATTTTTGGAAATGCTCCCTTATATACACTTACTTGTATTTATGACATGAATAACCAATTGGAAGCTCAGAATGTCCTCCTAGTGGCTTTCTCAGACATTTTAACAGGTTTGGATGTCATTTATTTCTTTTGGACCAATATTTGAAAGAGGTAGGGTGTGTCTTTAGTCTGCTTGAAATTTCATATTTTTTTAGATTAAAATACATCTTAGTTTCTAAGCTTGATAAATTATAGTGGAATTTTATGGTATTGATGTAGTAA